TATGAAATTCAATGTGTGGTTTGGCATGCAATCGAGAATTGGGTAACTTATCTGCCATCATGTTAGCAAGCACACTTAAATATCTAGCTTCAAAGCCTCCTTTTCCCCCATTGTGTGCTCAATGGTTATGCAACACCACCATACAAGCAACTAGAGTTTGGTCTTCTTATGCAGTCCATTTCCTTATAGTTACCTTTTCAACCTGTGGGATGTATGACAATCAAGAAATGTGCATTTGTTACAATTGTAGGCACATATTGTAAAAGTGTGTGTCAAGTATATTGATAAGTCCGTATTTAGACACGCATTTGATGTGTGTTGGGATTGGATTTTGATGGTTTTCCCAGTTTTAAGGTGTTGCAAGTCTCAATTTTATCTCAAGTTATGTTTACCGGGCGTTGGTTCGAGTTTTGTGTTGTTTGTAGTCAAAATCAGGGAATTTGAGCCCGGGGTACCGGCACTTGAGGAACAATCGGGATGATTTGAGAAGCATATGAGAATGATTTGATAGCTTTGGAGGTCACCGGAAGATTCACGATGAAGATTTGAAGGAAAAAGAGCTCTAGGATTGGCTACGGGGTCAAAAGAAGATGAATGAAGCTTGAAAACGACGATCAGGATGACCTTCTGTAAATCGTTCAAGCATATCTCTTTGTAGAAACATCCAATGTACACGATTCAAGTTCCATATGAAAGCTAACTTCAAGGGCTACAAATGATATGAAGACAACGTTGCTAGAATCTGAGAGGAAGAAGGTGAAAACAGACGATGAAGTCAGATGATCTCTGCTGCGATTTCAGAAAGACACCTTCCACCGTTTTGATCATATCTCTTGATTGGATGATTCAAATCACATTTGGCAACTTGGGGTGGATAGAGTACTTCATTATATACAACTTTAATGAAGGACGCATTGCCAAATTCGGAATCTAAGTATGCAAGATTGTTCCGTCAAAGTCAGGCACGATCGTGCGTGAAGAGAAAGTACTGCGGAGTTACTGCCAGCCAGGCCCGATCGTGCCTGGAGGGAGGCACGATTGTTCCTGCCCAAAATGCGCGTTTTTGCTCCGGAGGCACGATCGAAGGCACGATCAAAGGCACGATCGTGCTTGGCATCGTGTCTGGCTCCGAAAATCCTAATTCAGCTCAAATTTCACCCGATTTTTCTATTTAAACAGCATGTAAACCCCCGTTTTCAGGGGGGGCTTAGAGAGAGTGCCTAGCACGAATTTTAGAGGGCTTTTCAGCCTTGTTCATCAATCTTTTGGTATTCTTTGTAAGTTCCATCTTTTTAATTAATGACAATTAATTCTATGCTTCCCGATTCTATTGATTCTTCAATTATGAATTGTGAGTAGTTTAATTAGGGATTGTGATTGATGAAGGGGTTGATCATGATGTATGGCTAGTTTCTTAATGGATTAATTGCATGAATGCCGTTTAATTTGTGTTTGAATAATTTAACTGATATCTTTTGTAACCTAGAACGCGCGCTAGAATTACAATTGCTTGTAGAATAAATTAAGAGAGATCTAGTTTATTCTAGGACACTTTCACACACACTTAATCGTTCGCTAAGAGATTAGTAGCGATTAAGGGGCCGTAAGCTTGCTCGTCTTGGCAATAATTTAGGATCTTGTGGCATGAGAGATCAGCCTGGTCCCTGAAATTATTGTACGCTAGGCTCAATTGAATTAATTTCATGTAATAAGGCCTCATCTGCCAGAAATCTGGTTACCCCGGAATCAATCCCTGTTCTCTTCGTCATTAATTAGAGAGAACCCATTTATTTTAATCGTTTAGTTGCATTTTAATTTTTCATACCAATCATATCTCGCACGACGCATTTATTTTATTTATTTCTTTTAATCGCTGAATTTAATTAATTTTTGATTACCTTTTGTCTGTCCCTGTGGAGACGATACTCGTACTTACACCACTATATTATGATCTATTTTAAGTGCGAGAAAACACGCATCATATATACAAACTAAATCAATCAATTTGTTAATAGTAAACTTGAATTATCTAACAAAATTAACATTTTTGTTTGGGGATCCGTGCACTTTTAAGAGCAATACTTGTGTATAATTCAATATATTTTTTCACTTTTCTTTAGGTCCCAATTAAAAGTTAACATGTTAACGTGTGGGTAATAGATCAATTAAAAGTTCATCCACTATAAGACATTTCAGCTACACGGATGCCCCGATGCTTGATATGAACGGATAAGAACTCCATCAATTTACAGTTTAAGATAGAGAAATTGTCTCACATAGGAGTAAAACATAGGAGAAATTCTTAAATAGGAGTATGTATGTTTTCTTCCCCAAATAGGAGCATATCACTCCTATTTAAAACATACAGACTTTTCAATTCCATTCTTAACCCTATTACATTTAATTCACGGTCAATTGCTGCTCTCCATCGCACTGCATAACACATCGATCAATTTCTTCTTCCCTTTCGCACTATGATCTCTTCTCAATTCTCACCAGATCCATCGATTTGGTATGCCCTGCATATTAGATCGATTTCATCGCCGACCTCATCCTTAGCCGCCGACGTTGCCGACGATTCCACCCTGCGCACGCCGCCGTTTGGTCAGGTTTCTTCTTCCTCTTCCACTTCTTCTCCTTCTTCTACTTCTTCTTCTCCTCCTCCTCCTCCTCCTTCTGCTTCATCCTCCTCCCTCCTCCTATTATTCTATTTTTTGGCTTTTGAAATTGATTTTTATAACTTTCTTCCATTCCTCTGTTTTTTTTGTTCTGACATTCGATTTGTTGATCATTGGTCTTCTATTTCGCATTTCCGTTTCAAATTTCTGCATTTTTAATAAATTTCAATTTTCCAGATTTTTGGATGATGGAATAAAATTTTGCCAAGGATATGGCAAAAATAAGCACAGTGACTATCGTTTATGGAAGAAACGATTTTTTTGTAAATCTGCTTTTCTGAGTTTTGTCACTAGCTTCGTGATTTTGATTTTTATTGTGTTAGAGTGTTTATTCCATTTAAAAAATATATTTCAATATTTGGTTGGTATTTCATATTTTTGCCAATATTATGGCAGTTTTTTGTGAATGGAAGAAAAATCTGCCAATTTAATGACAGATATAATCTTCAAGGCGAAATTTGCCAACTTAATGGCAGATTTGCAGAGCTACAGTTGTGACGGCGTCGGTGGACAAAGCTAGAGTTGTGACGGCGGCGGCGGTGATCGGAAATGAAGTGGTGGCACCAGATTTAACATTGGCCGCATTGACAGCAATAGGATGGTGGCGTCAGCGGCGGATGGCGACTTCGGTTGGGCGGCGACGATGCGGCGGCAGGCGGCGCCATCGCCGGCGAGGGTGGTGGTAGGCTGTGCCAGTGAGGGGCAGTGGTTCTGGCTCATGTGGCGGCTCTTGCTCCAGCGGCGGCATACAACTGCTATATATGGTTCCAATAGTTATTTTTATTTTACAGTTTTAAAATTAAAAAAGTTTTAACAAGGGGTATTTTTGTCTAAACGTGTTGAATTAGGTCCTATGAAACGTGTGTTTAGTTGGTACTCCTAAATGTGCAATTAAGTTTCAGTCACAGAGGTGCATAGTTTCTTAATAAAAATGTAGATGAATCTGAGGACTAACAGTTGGTGCATCTGCTTTTACCATCATCTAATTAAATATGAAAGATAAAGAACTTTTCAAAATTTTAGATTTTAAAAGATTAAAAGTACATAGAATATATGTTAAGGAAAACTAAATGAGACCATTCATTTGAATTTAATTTGAAGGAGGCGTGCCCCTGAGGAACGTAAATCTCATTGTCCTAGGTTGCCTCTAGACATATTCTTACTCCAATAACATGATTTTGAAATTATGTGAAATTTAATTTAGTTCTACTAATCATACAAAAATTTTCAAATTGGTATATATTACTTCATAATGATATTATTGGAGTCCAAACTTTGAGCCTTATCTCATACTTCGTAATTCGGAAGACCAAGTGTTCTAAGAATCAGGTCTCAATGATTCAAATGCTTTTGTTTGGACTGCATAAAACAATTTAAATATTGTTTTCTTCACCTAAAATAATAAAATGTTCATATATTTAATTCAAATAATTACTTTAATTTAGTTTTTGGTGTGTAAGTAAATAAAAAAGTAATACATTTAATTTAGTTTTTGGTGTGTAAGGAACAAAGAATGAATAGAGTCCTTGGTTCCATATGCAATTTCAATAGTTTAGGAACTCCTCGTTTTTGGGCCTGTATGGTAACGGCTGTAATGGCTAAAACTGCTGAACTGGTTGAATTGGCTGAAATTTCTGAAGTGAGTGTTTGATAATATCTTGACTGAAGTGGCTGATTGAATGTATATTTACCAAAAAGGGTATTTATTTCTTTATATTTGAAATATGTGTATGTTAGCTTTGCTAGGAAAATCTGTTTACTAATATGAGTAAATTAATGTAAAACATTACAATTTCTATTATTTATATTAAAAAGCTCACATGTAAAATAAATAAATAAATAAAAACAGTACATAAATTAAACATAACCATTAATTGGAATGTGCCGTAATGTAACTAATCAAAACATCCAGAAAACATGCATACAAATTGTAATCGAGCAGAAAATATTTTAAGCATATATAAGATGGCTTAGATGCTAAATGATATCTAGGAAGAAAGAAGACGACAGATGTGAACGAAGAAGAGAATTGGGGGTGAAGTAAAAAAAAGGGATACAAATGTCTTTTAAGCAAAAAATAGATTTCAGCCAAAAAAGTAACCATTGGGCTACTTTTTGAGCTTTTAAGAATCATCACCCAAATCAACCCAAAATAGGGGTGTGGTGATTCTCTTTTGCATTAAAGCTTATCGGCCCAAAAATGGGACTCCAAGTCTCCAAACGGCCACTTTAGTTCTCGTGTAGGTTAGTGTATGTGCTTAGGACTATTATACTTACTCAGTTACTCTATCATCCAATTGTTTAATAAAAAATACATTTGGAATTTAAATTGTTGCATAATGATCATTGAAAATGTCAGACTCATAGTCATGTAAATGAATAAGAAGTGTGACGATGCAAACTTACTCACTACATGAGTACAAAGATTGCCACTTGATATATCACAGCTTTTTAAAGTCATAGCAATGTGTGAAATATCGTCAATAAGTGTTGCACCACTTGTGAATTGACCGGAGCTTGGATAGTCGCATGTCTTATAATTGTCCTTCACTTCACAGTACACTAAAGTTCTCCATCATGTATGGACTATGGAGCGAGGTCTGATCTGGAAACAAACCTCTCTTTTCTCATTGGTTAGAAAAGCAGATTTTTTGTGTCATTTGTCTTATTAATTTTCAAAAATTTAAAAATGAGTAAATTATCTGAGTAACAAACGTAACAAATAAATTAGTTAATAATGATAGTGAGAAAAATATGGTAATGTGAGAGATTCAGTGAGAATTGAACTAAATACTAATAATGTCAATGTAGTTGGTGAAAAATATGAAATCAATAAATTACTTATAATGTCAATTTTATTCAACTGAAAGTACGTAAATATTCAAAAATATGAAGACAAAACCTTTTTATATTAGAAGTAAATAAAAACCGAGAATAAGACAAAACCTTTTTATGTCAGTTGGGGGACGACTATAAGAACGAACTAATTAAAAAAGCCATACTTTGTATATAAAAACTGAGAATGCTAAATCAAACACAATTCAATAAGATGCTTAACTAATGTCAATTTATATAAGCCTATATTTGAATGCTAAATCAAACACAATTCAAAAAGCATTTTGAAGTGCTTTTACATTTCTGGAACAGAGGCCTGCTTATAAACAACTTTTTGATGGCTTATTATTTGTTCATAATAAACTTTTATTTCTGGAATAGTGGCCAGCTGAGAAACACTTTTAGGCTTATAATGTGTTATAAGCAGCCAATTTGCTTATCAAGTGTGCTTATCAAGTGCAAGTAAATAAAAAACATGTCCAAAGGTGAGCCAATTTGCAGCAGCCTATTTTCATATAGGAAGAGCACTATCAACACTAAAAAACATCACTTTCATATCCTGAGAGTAAAGTTATAGTGGGATTTTTTATGTATACCTTACCTGCTACACTAACCTTTTAAATCCTCTTTTACTTAATGGAGTCTTCTTCTTTATCTTCTTAAATTGCAGTTCATTTTGAGCTTAAAATCTCATTCTTCTTATGCATACATCCACATGAACATCTGTTAGCTTCATGGGCTTATTGTCATGGATGAACAAAAAAAGAAAAAGACAGAATAAACAAAACAGAAATTGACATGGATGAAAAATGACAGAACAAAAGGGGAAAAACAGAATAAAACAAAACAGAAATCGACATGGATGGAAAAATGACATGGATTAAACAAATGTTTGATGCTATTAGTTAGTTTATATAACTTAATTGTTCAGAAATATCCCTTGGGACTATGCCAAATCTCACTCATTCCCTGCATTTCATTTGGTTAACTCATACTACTTTTTTTTTTGTTTCAATCACCCAATTCCCTATAGTTCAGCAAATGTAGGCACTTCCTTAAGCAAATGCTCCCTATGATTATGTGATGGTACCATCAAATGCAACAAAAAAAAAATAGGTTGAACAAAACAGAACAAAAAAGATGCCTTTGCAATCTCTTTTGAGCTTATAATCAGTTTTTCTTATACATACTAAAAGAAAAAGATAATAAGAAATCAAAACAGGGGAGATAGCAACTGAGGTAGCAACTGTAATTACATCACTAAGCCTTTGCTACAACTATAGCAAAGGCATTCTGGGGTCCAATTACAGCATAGTAAGGGGCATCAACAACATTTTCAGTACTGTTTTGGGAATCAACATCAATAGCAACACTTACAGAAGCATGTACATTAATAACAGAATTATCAGGGGCGGTAGGAACGTCAAGAACATCATGAATTGATACATATCATACTGAGACTCTCACAAGTTACAACTAATAATAATAACAATACTAAAATTGAGAGTGTAAAAGTAAAAACTCACTTAAGCGTTTCATGGAACACCTTATATGCAGAAAAGTAAAAGCCAAAACTTTGTTCAATGCTATTAACAAAAAGATACAGATTTAAAAAAAAAAAGATAAAAAAGACCAAAACCTGTGGAAGCAAGAGTTTTTTATACCCAACTACGTATGGGTATGCTTTCATATTTGTTTCCTTTTATCGCTTCCACATTATTCATGCTTTTCATATTTCCAGTAATTAGTTCTTTAAATTTTATGTATTTAGGAAAGCTGTAACCATAGGCCACTTTCTTGAATCCCCTGTAAAAAGACCAAAAGAAAATACAGAACAAAAACAAAGCACAATAAAAAAAGTCTGTAGCAACATGTGGTTTGGAAAAAATCTTTAGAGGCAGGGAAGGTCTAAAAAATGCAGGGGTGACAACAAAATCAAAAAAATACAATGATTCATTTGCAGGACTGAAGCACCATTCACAGAGAATCGAGAAATGCATAAGGGAAGAAATAGAGGGTACCTGTGCTACTTGGCCGGGCACGGAAGGTTTTGGTGTTCGCAAACCTGGGTTGATGTGGATGATCTACACCGAGACACATGTAAAAATGGGTTTAGACAAAAATAAGCATGGTAGAATTACATAGAATCGAGAAACATAGAAGACAAAGAATTACAAAATACCTCGTCTACTCGTGCGGCGAGAGTATGAACCCTAATGTTGATCTTCATCAGTATATATAGTGACGATATTGTTTGGAGTCTCCTAGATTCTGTGAAGAGCTGTGTGCGCTAATCTTTGTACTGAAGAATTCTAAATTTGGTGAAATTGGCAGATTAGCGATTGTATGAAGCTTTCGCTGGGAAGAGACGTGAGAAAAGTTAGGCGAGAAATAGGTGAGGGCGCGGAGAAGATGGAAACGGCCGTTCAGTTTAGTTCGGCCATTTTGTTTTGTTTTTACGATGAGGTGAGGGGAGAAAAAAGAAGCTTAAGCGTTTTTTTGAAGGGAAGAAAAAGCGTAAACAGAAAAAGCGTAAACGTGAGTTAGCCACGTGGCGTTAGAATAGCGTAAACGTGGTCTTCTTCTTTATCTTCTTAAATTGCAGTTCATTTTGAGCTTAAAATCTCATTCTTCTTATGCATACATCCACATGAACATATGTTAGCTTCATGGGCTTATTGTCATGGATGAACAAAAAAAGAAAAAGACAGAATAAACAAAACAGAAATTGACATGGATGAAAAATGACAGAACAAAAGGGGAAAAACAGAATAAAACAAAACAGAAATCGACATGGATGGAAAAATGACATGGATTAAACAAATGTTTGATGCTATTAGTTAGTTTATATAACTTAATTGTTCAGAAATATCCCTTGGGACTATGCCAAATCTCACTCATTCCCTGCATTTCATTTGGTTAACTCATACTACTTTTTTTTTTGTTTCAATCACCCAATTCCCTATAGTTCAGCAAATGTAGGCACTTCCTTAAGCAAATGCTCCCTATGATTATGTGATGGTACCATCAAATGCAACAAAAAAAAAAATAGGTTGAACAAAACAGAACAAAAAAGATGCCTTTGCAATCTCTTTTGAGCTTATAATCAGTTTTTCTTATACATACTAAAAGAAAAAGATAATAAGAAATCAAAACAGGGGAGATAGCAACTGAGGTAGCAACTGTAATTACATCACTAAGCCTTTGCTACAACTATAGCAAAGGCATTCTGGGGTCCAATTACAGCATAGTAAGGGGCATCAACAACATTTTCAGTACTGTTTTGGGAATCAACATCAATAGCAACACTTACAGAAGCATGTACATTAATAACAGAATTATCAGGGGCAGTAGGAACGTCAAGAACATCATGAATTGATACATATCATACTGAGACTCTCACAAGTTACAACTAATAATAATAACAATACTAAAATTGAGAGTGTAAAAGTAAAAACTCACTTAAGCGTTTCATGGAACACCTTATATGCAGAAAAGTAAAAGCCAAAACTTTGTTCAATGCTATTAACAAAAAGATACAGATTTAAAAAAAAAAAGATAAAAAAGACCAAAACCTGTGGAAGCAAGAGTTTTTTATACCCAACTACGTATGGGTATGCTTTCATATTTGTTTCCTTTTATCGCTTCCACATTATTCATGCTTTTCATATTTCCAGTAATTAGTTCTTTAAATTTTATGTATTTAGGAAAGCTGTAACCATAGGCCACTTTCTTGAATCCCCTGTAAAAAGACCAAAAGAAAATACAGAACAAAAACAAAGCACAATCAAAAAAGTCTGTAGCAACATGTGGTTTGGAAAAAATCTTTAGAGGCAGGGAAGGTCTAAAAAATGCAGGGGTGACAACAAAATCAAAAAAATACAATGATTCATTTGCAGGACTGAAGCACCATTCACAGAGAATCGAGAAATGCATAAGGGAAGAAATAGAGGGTACCTGTGCTACTTGGCCGGGCACGGAAGGTTTTGGTGTTCGCAAACCTGGGTTGATGTGGATGATCTACACCGAGACACATGTAAAAATGGGTTTAGACAAAAATAAGCATGGTAGAATTACATAGAATCGAGAAACATAGAAGACAAAGAATTACAAAATACCTCGTCTACTCGTGCGGCGAGAGTATGAACCCTAATGTTGATCTTCATCAGTATATATAGTGACGATATTGTTTGGAGTCTCCTAGATTCTGTGAAGAGCTGTGTGCGCTAATCTTTGTACTGAAGAATTCTAAATTTGGTGAAATTGGCAGATTAACGATTGTATGAAGCTTTCGCTGGGAAGAGACGTGAGAAAAGTTAGGCGAGAAATAGGTGAGGGCGCGGAGAAGATGGAAACGGCCGTTCAGTTTAGTTCGGCCATTTTGTTTTGTTTTTACGATGAGGTGAGGGGAGAAAAAAGAAGCTTAAGCGTTTTTTTGAAGGGAAGAAAAAGCGTAAACAGAAAAAGCGTAAACGTGAGTTAGCCACGTGGCGTTAGAATAGCGAAGGAGAAAATCTTGGGTTGAGCTACACGTAAGATTTTTAAGGGTAAATTGGTCTTTTGATGAGCTATCTCTTTTCTTATATATAAATAGAATAGATGTAGATGAATCTGAGGACTGGGCATGATAGTTGACCGGTTGAAAAAATTTCAAACTGCGGCCACCATTATAGTTAGTCAAGATACCCAACCAGAATGTGTATACTGGCTGTGCCAACAAAGAACAATATCAACAAAGAAAATAGAAAAAACAAATTAAACAGATTCTAAATACAATTTTATCAAATAACACACAGTTTTATAACAACAATATCATCATTCATCCGACGAAAAATAATTGCGGCAGATTCTAAACCCATTTTTTCCGACGCCACTGCCAATCAGAAACATGAACATCATTCATTTTAACCTATTTTAAATCCAAACCTAATAGAAGGAATCGAGATGTGAAGAAAGCAAATACGAGTTCAGTATACATGTGCTATCAGCTGTGACATAATGAACCCGAAGGCCGTCTCTAGGATTTTTTACGCCCCGGACAAAGAACGACTAATGAGATTAAATAATACTTAAAATTAATAAAAGAATTATATATGAAGTAATTAGAAAATTGTAACATCATTTTTTAATAAATACAAAAGGCAATACTTAACTTAAAGTTGATATAAAGTATGTGAAAATGTAAATTCTTCGAAGAAATAAATAAAACAATAAAACTACTACCTAATAAGCTATTATTCTTGCCTTTTGATTGCAAAATTTGAAGTAAATCACTACAATCAAATTTCAAACTAAGTTTGATAAATGAATAACTTCAAGAAAATTAGAAAACATATATGTAAGTGTAACACAAAGTTTCAAGTTTAATGCGAAATTTCAAATTGCAAAACAAATCAAAAAATAAAATATAGAGTACTAAATATGGAGTATAATGAATTGCACAATGCAAATCTGAATGGCGGATCGGTGGATAGCCTTGAATTGCAAACAACATGCTGACATAATTGCTCATATTGGCTTTGCCTTAGGTTTTTTAATTTCAAAATTCGACTGAACAAGAATTTGTACGTTGCTTTTTTGATTTTAACTACAAAAGTAATTTTGACTACCAATGGGATATAGCTTGGGGCTGCTTGGCTGCTATGTGTATTTGGAAGCTAAAATGGTTCATCAATAAATAACATTAGTTACTCCAATTATATACCGAGTATAATGATAGTTTTTAATGAAAAGTGGGACCCACTTGAAATTTGGTGCCCTAGGCCATTGCCTAGGTGCCTGGCCCCCAAAACTGGCTCAAATGAACTGTAGATAGATCGGTACCCTCGATGGTGCTTACCAATGACTAGAGATGGTTGTCTGGGTTTGTGAAAGAAATGTGTTTTAGGTAGACCTGTACAAAACCGGGCTGGCCCGCCCGGCCCGCCCAGCCCGCCCGCACAAATTAGCGGGTTTGGGCATATATATTTACCCACCGGCCTGGCCCGAGCCCGACCTGCAACAACATATGGGCGGGCTTGGGTTAGGGTGTAGGCCCGTTCGGGCCGATAAGCCCGGCCCGCTACATTTAGTATATATACATATATTTTTTTATATATACTAATTTATGTATTTAGTTACATGTACACATGTATATTTTTATATTTACTAATTTATCTGTATACATATTTATAGTTTATTATGTTTAAATTTAAGTTTTTAGTTCTTAACAAATAGTCCAACCAATATAATATCTATTTTTGTACTTACAATAATACTTTGTGCATGAATTTTAAATTTTAGATATAGTTTCTCATTATTATTTTTGTGTAAATATTTTTTGTGTATGTGATGAAAGACCTATATACATTATAAGCGTATTAGCAATTTTTTAAATGTTGTAATATTATTTATAAAGTATTAAATAAATTATATAATTTTGAAAAATTTAAAGTCTTCCCGGGCCCGTCGGCCCGGTGGACTACCCGACCCGCTCTTACGGGCGGGTACGGACATGGGGTTAGGCCTGTTTTTGCGGGCCAGGCCGGGCCCGCCCACACATGATGGGTAGAAAACATATGAAAAGCCCGGCCCGAACCCGGCCTGAACCCGCTTTTGTGCAGGTCTAGTTTTAGGTAAAGAGATATGGGATAGGAGTGGAAATAAAAATTGCGTATGGAAAAAGGCAAAGACACACCCGTCAATATGAAAAGTCTTAAATCAACGCTTAAATAAAACATGTGGAGGGAGAGAGTTTAGTAAGCGGTGCTTTAAGCGGGTACCAATGTACCATGATTACTAAGCATGAATTTATCCATCAAAATGGTTTACTTCATCAGTATTATTAAGCTAACGGTGTAATAAGCAGTAAAGTACACATTTCCTAAATGTGCGGATGTGAATCTTTTTTTAGTACATAAGTGTAGGTGATGGATTCACAATTGTAGGAATATGTCTTATTTTGTTACACATTTGAATGAGACATGGTGATTATAAAAGTGTGTTTCACAAGACATGAGTATAAAAGTAAGTAAAAGGGTAACTAAGAGGGCGTTTGGAACAGATTATGCTTCAGTTTCTTTTTTAAAAACAGAATCAGAATCAGTTTTCAGAAGCTGGTCTCCCTCAACTTCTGAAAAAAATTATTTTAGGAGTAAATTAGAGTAGCAGAAGTACTTCTGTACTTTCATCCAAACTACCTAAAGGAAGAGAAGCAGTTTTAAGAATCATATCCAAACACCCTAACGGTCCGTTTGGATTGAGTGTTGGGGAGTGTTAGTAGGTGTTGATACTAACACTTGTTTGGGAGAAAAATTAAGAGGTGTTACTAAATGTTAGGAAGTGTTATTCTGTTAATAATAACCTTCCCAACACCTCAATTGTTCACCTTTTTAACATCCCGATTTAGAGTGCTTTGAGGTGTTGGACAATTATTACCCTTCTCATTTATCATAAAACATAAAGTGTTTCGACACTTCGCTTCAAATCTCTTTGCCACAGCCCACAGGTCTGATAGTCTGTCCTTTCATCTCTTCTTCTTACTTGTTTCTTCTGTCTCAAGGTAAAATTATTAACACTTCCATTATTAACACTTCATTTTTAACACCTATACTTCCCTTCCCTTTCAGTCGGTAAATTATACCGTACACCCGGTTGTACGGTGCTCACCGTACAACCAGGTATTTTTGTAATTAATTAGGAGGGTTCTGAGAATTGATTCCGTGTCCGGCAGTAGAGATTGGTGGATTGGGAGGATTTTGAGAACTGATTCGATGGCTTCAAGCTGCTGTTCTCTGAGATTCCGGGTGTTGATGACGGAGACGCTGGAGGAATGTCCGTTGCTCGCCTGCTCGCTGATGTCCTGATGAAGATGAATCTGGTTGTGGCGGTGTGGACTTCTGTTGTTGGATCGATGTCCTAAGGCCTGACTGTTGCTCTTGTTTTTAGTTCTCAACCCCACACTATGACAAATTTCTAGCTATTTTTTAATAGTGTGTGTTTGCAACTTGTAATTTTGAACGGATAACAATTATATCGAAATTACGATATAAAAAAACAATTATATTGAAATTGAGTTTGTGTTAAATCTAAATGAGTATAATGCATACAAGTAATGAACATACATAAATGAGCTTTTAAATTGGCGTAATGCTCACTTTAAAATGAGTATTACACCAGACATTTTAAAATGTCATATCCATGCATATATGTGTAATGCTCATTTTAAATATTTGGCTAAAGGGTCAAATAAGTACATGAACTAACTTAAAGTGTTCAATTAGCCCTTATATAGGAGGTTCTGCTCAGCCGTCGCCAATCGGGGCGGTTCCCGGTTGAATTTTTTGATGAATTTTTTTGAGCATCTTCTTCATTAAGTCTAGTTTACCCATATCAAATTTCAGCTAAAAATTAAATCGGGAAGGCATTCAAATGATTTTCTGAAATTTACTGCGCTGTTTAACTGCACAGTTATCTTCAAAAAATCATTTGACTGCCTTCCCGGTTGAATTTTTAGATGAAATTTGGCATGGGTAAACTAGACTTAATGAAGAAGATGCTCAAAAATTTTCATCAAAAAATTCCACCGGGAACCGCCCCAATTGGCGACGGCCGGGCAAAACCTTCTATATAAGGGGTTAATTGTACACTTTAAGTTAGTTCATGTACCTATTTGACCCTTTAGCCTAAATATTTCGATGCTCATTTCATAAGTTATGTATTCTCATTTGTCGAATTTGTACTCATACTATGCTCATTTTTAAAATGTTATAGTCATGCAAATTTTAAAAGTTGCATATGACATTGGATTCACATTGTTAAGTTCTTAATACTCAATTGAATAAGTCTCATTAAAAGTGTTTTAATGCTCATAATATGTTCAATGCACATTAAAAGTTTCATAAATGCTCATTTAATAGAAATTGTAATTTCATCTCAATAGAGGAGATTTGATGTTCAATGAAAATGTCGTTATGTCAAACTAACAAATCTTACGATTTTCATATAAAAGAAACATTTGGAAGTTATGTATACTCATTTGGTACTGATCTTATGCTCATTTACTAGATGTTATCAATGTATTTTTATAAAGTACTATTAAGTTTTTATAAAAGAAAAAATAATAAAAAGAAAGTAAAGTTATGAATTAGAAGTTATGAAACAGAGATCACGATTCTGAATATTAGACTTCTAATACTTAACATTAGACTTCTAATACTTAACATAATAGGTTTGATGCTCATTAAAAGTTCAGTAATGCTCATTCACTAAAAACCATGATTTTCATCTCAATAACGGATGTTTGATGCTCAATTAAAATGTGGTGATGTTCGACTAACAAACCTTACAATATTCATATCAATGTGCGCTTTGTAAGTTATGTATACTTATTTGGTACTGATGTTATGCTCATTTTTACAATGTCATATCAATGCATATTTCA